AGCAAATCCACAAAATTATTTTAAATTTTAGTTCATACCATTATTTGTTTTATGGATTGATAACGTTGTATTTGCAACAATATATAAAATTATTTACATTTATTATAAAACATTTAAATTTTTATAAAAAAAATAAATTTAATTATGTTGACTCGATTGACCTAGTCAAATTCAATCTATTGGCATTCATGATTAGCTTAGATTAGGTTGAATTTTAAAAAACGAGGCATAACTCAATACAATTAAACTCGTTAAATTTTGATCAAGTAGACTAGTAAATTCATTCAAACATAACTAAAATCAATCTGTTTATGTAACACCTTAAATACACTAGAAAAAAGAAGAATCAAATGATCTATATAGGTGAGAGACTATGTGATGACTTAAAAAAATTAATTTGTATTAAATATATAAACAATGTGCATTTATTTATTTGGTAACTCATTACATAAGAATTTTATGGTTAATTGTGTTTGACTTTGAACAATTTAGGAATATGTAACATTTTGAAAAGTTTATAATTTGAATAATCTTGTATTTTTATGGGAACAATTCTTAAAGATGGTCTAACATTTCAAAAATGACAACCTATAAAGAGTTTTGAGTGATAAATGGTTATAACCAACGAGAGACTATATGAAATGTCACTTCACAGAATAAAGTCATTGAGACGTTATCTTTAAAGGATGTCATGACTTACAAGTTACACCCCTAAAAAGTTGGACTATATTATCTTTCTATGCAAATATTATTTAAACAAAAATTCTCATAAAATGGTCTCACGAGAAGAATAAGCAATAAGTATTGGGATGTCTTGTGGTGTATTGTTGGAGTTGTCAAAATACACATATTTTTAGATAACAACAATTCAATAAGGAGACTTTATTGCAATAAATTTTATCAAGCACCAAACAACTAGAGGGAACCATTGCTCTCACGTTATTGTTCTCATGCTTAGTGTTAAAATGATAGAGAAAATCCCTTACTCTATACTTTCTATGTTTAGCGTGGGATCTCGCATATTGCGTGAGTTTATGATTTTTGCATTTTACAATTTTGATTTTCAAATTCTTTTATCTCTTAATTCATTCATAAGCATTCAATACATAATTAGGATTTTAGATTCAATCTTAAACCCTTAAAAGTAACAGTTACAAAAATCCCATAATTTGATTAATCACACAAAATCCTTAAAATCTCTAATTTCAAGAACAAAAAGGGAAAACAAATATTTGCATATTACACAAATTCATATTCATAGTGATTTTTAATTTGCAGATAATGTATTTTTTTTACGTTATTAGTAAATAAAAAATAAACTCTTAATAAATGTATTCCCAACATTGAGTGAAATTCTTACTTACATTTAAAAGAATTCTTTTCCTTCGATAAATGATTACAAGTAACTTGACATGAAATTATATCAACATTGGTGTATACTTGTTAAGAAGCAAAAGTTTATATGTGTAGCACTCTAACTATGGAAGAATAGTTAATGATCTTTTAGTGTATGTCATATAGTTAATGTGTAGGCATATATCCTCTATCCTCAATTACGTTTTCTCAATGAAGTATTATTAATTAGGTAAAGTAAATTACATAGATTAAACCAATGTTTCATTTATTGAGAAATTCAAAAATGGAATGTTCCTATTAACATACCACTACAATAATGTATTATTGTTGATATCAGTTTAATTTTTAAAATGGAGATCTTAATTGCTTATAAGATGAATGTTACCTATATGACATCCACTACAAAATATCACTTCCAAAATAATCACCATCAAAGAACTCGTTCTCATAATCATATTTCACAAAAAAGTAGTAGCTAGTCGTAGAAAATGCAAAGTACGATCATTATTAGGGTTCACCATGGGCACACATAACACGTATGTGCCTATACAACTCTTTATTGTCGAACTTTGATTTTTTCAGATCACTCTTTTTTTTAACATACTTAGATTGAGCTTACCATGCCATCCTCTGTAGAATCTTTGGTGGCTAGAGTAGCCAAACTTGAAGAGTTCCCATTCACAAAATTACACTGAGCTCGAATTTCTCCTTGTGTTCCTGTTAACACCCCAATGATGCTCATTTTTATCATTGATGCCTTAAAGTTTTCATAGAAAAGAGTTTGGTTATTGCTGAAACTGTTGACAATGGCAATGGTATCTGCACCACTTGTGGAAAACAACTCTTGATCACTTTGAAGCAAGCCATTTTGATTCTGAAGATTGGAGAAGTAGGTGGAGTCAAATGTATCAGGAGTGGTTTGGTCTAAGTTGGTGAGATTGGTTCCAGCTCCACCATTAGGACATATTACCCGTAGTGTTTGTAAAAGGGTTGTGTTTAGAGTAGGGTCAGGATTACCAGTGTTGCTGAAATTGTATAATCGGTCAACAAAAAATCTGCATTGAGCTCTACCAATTGTATGAGCACCTGAAATTGAAACACACACATGTCAATACACTAATATCATTTTTATTTTATCATAGATATTTCTTGAAATGTAAAAAACTCTTACCCGAAAGTGCAACTAGATCTGTGGTGTTGAGGTTTTGTTTAGCAAATGCAGATTTGAGTTGATCAAGGGAGAAAGAAGGACCCGGAAGATTTTCATTAGCAAGAGTTTTATTTGCTGTTAAACTATCTCTTCTTCCTAGTGGAACTTTCCAATCAGGACCATGGGCCTAACAAGTAATGTGAGAAGCAAAGTAAGAAAGTAGTTTTCAGAACATATTTTTTAAGATCATTTTTGTTTTATCTATTTTTAAATGGTATATTGTAAATGACCAAGGAGACCATCAAATCCACTTAAAAAACATATTCTTGGTAAAGTCACGCGAAAGTAAATTTAAGGAAAGAAAAATTATTATTTTTATACGAATTATATCTATTCAACATTAACATAATTTCTAAAATATAATGGCAAAAATAGTGTATGCATCGACAATATAAAGATTTTTTACGCTGTTATTTAATTAGAATTTGTCAAGTACATAATTATTCAACTTAATGAAAAATGTGTAGAAATATTTTTTTATCATTAATTAAAACTTTCAAGTTTTTAAAATAGTCAAATATTTTTTAAAAATTCATTCCTAAACTTAAACTTCTTATAAAAAAAAATTAGGGAAAACATTTTTATTTTTGTCAGAACGGGAGAAAAAAAATCCACATTGAGTAGAGTTCCAGACTTGGACCTGGGCTGGCGCTCAAAGAGTAAAAGGCCAGTTACCTCAGCCCAAATCGAGATGAGACATAAGACATTATAATCTCATAAGTCATAACCATTACACAAAACAAATTTTTTTTTTTTGGTGCTTTTCTTACAAATTAAAGATAAATAGTCTATGAAAATGAATTCTAAAAAAATCATATTAAAATATTTTTTTTAAAAATAAGTTATGATTAATTATTAAATAGTTTCTTATTAATTAAATAATTTTTTTTTACATTTTTAAAATTTATATTATAGTTTATTTATTAATAAAACAATTTTATAAATTAAATAAAATGTTTTTGTTTATAAAATTTATAGTTATAATACATGAATATTTGAATATTTCAAATTTTTCATTGACACTTGTAATTTATTTTTATCTTTCTTTTCCTATCATATCAAATTGCTTATTATATAATTTTCTCTCCTTATCTCCTTAGTCCTTAGGTGTTAACTGGAGTGTATCTGTTTCCATATCATTTTCTAAAATTAGTATTTTATATAGTTATAAATATTTAAAGAAGGGCCTACCAAGGGTCCTTTAGACTTGGCTTATTTATTTATTTATTTATTATTATTATTATTATTATTATTAATTAATAATTTATTATTTAAAGTATAATTGATGGTTGACCCGGAAACTTCCTTCTAAGTTGTAGCAGCATCACCGACGCCCTCCCAGGAACTGGATAACCCTTTGCCATGGCCCATGGGACATTGGGACTTGAACAAGGAAAAATAAATGATTGTTTTCATATCTATTCTCATGCATTTTTTTATTATTTTTTTTAATAACTTTTTCTTTTCTTTTCTCTATTATTAAGCAATCAAACAATTATCTTACCTTTTATTTTATTTTATTTTATTTATTTATTTATTTACTTTCTTTCTTTCTTTTATTATAGACTTTAAAAACATAAAAGTTGTTCTCCTACTGATATTGGCCTTATCGTGGAATCATTAAAATTTTGACAATAACTACTTGCCTCGCGATAGCAACATAATTCCAAGCATTTCTTTTTATATCCATACTAATTGAATATGGTATCTAGAGATTTATGGTACTATCGTTTAATGCATCTTACTTGTTGTTTTTGAACTTTAAAATAACATTACGTATTTTAGTCAGTTATGTCTTTATACTTTTCACTTAATTTTTAATTAATTTATTTATTAATAAAAATAAAAATAAAAAACAAGTGCTTCATATGCATTTTTCTAATTATGTTACCGACGTGAAGTATGTATCTGTCACATAACTTAACTATAATTATCTTTTAATATGGTCTCTGTTTTTAATCGTAATTTTTTATCTACAAAATTTGAAGCCATCATCTTACTTTAAGAGGTTTGATTGTTTGAATATTTCACACACGCGAACAATTTATTATCAATTGTATGCATTTATCATAGAATAAGCATATAATAAAGAAAAACTTTATAACTGTTTCATCATGCAAGAAAAAAAGAAATCTTAATTATAATTTTTTCTCTATAAAATTATATAATTTCGCAAATTTAACTCTTTTTATTTTTCACAATTTTTACCCAATTTTTATATAAAATATCACAATTTTTTTTATTTTTTATGATTCATTATCAATGAGTATTTTTTATTGAACACATATTTGATAAACACTAAATAGATGAATATTCCTTCTTAATTTAAATTTTATGTATGCATAGATCCTTGACCACTTAATAAAATGACGAAAGTCGCTTGTCATTTGGACTAAAATTAATTATTTCAAAATTTTATCTGCACATTAAATTTTTAATAAATCCTAAACGGTGTGATAATGTGACTATATTATTTTATAATGATTGTGAACTGCCACAAAATTGTGGTAGTTTAAACACATGCTTATCTGAGTTTAAAACCATTATAAATATGCAATGTCATCACATATTTTAGTGTTTAATGGAGACATGGTGCAAGGATAATCAAATATTTTATAAACTGAAAAGTAAATTTTGTGGGAAAAATTTAGGACAAAACATCCAAGATTTAATAATTTTAGAAGTAAAAAGTGTAACTTTGTAAAAAATATATTACATTATTTTGTTTCTGCATAAAAACCTTAAAAAGACATTTGAAATGGAAGGAAATAATGTTAGAGAATGTGTTAGAAGAAGCATGTTAAAAGAATGTGCAGCTTTGGTAAAGAAAAAGAAGAAAAAAGAATATATAGAATTAGTTATTACTAAAAAAAAACTCCTTTAATATATAAGATTTTGTGTATATATAAAGTTATCTATGTTCTTATTTAAAAAGGATGTGAGACTTTGATTTAATGAGAATAATAATGAATATAAAAGTGAAAAACACATACCAGAACAGAAGATATCTCAGCAGCAAGAGCAAGAATATCAGCACAAGAAACTATCCCGGGGCAAGCATTCTCGACGGCAGTCTTGATCTGGTTGACAACATCCAAACCTCTTATGGAGTTGTTATTAGGCAAAGCAGTTTGCTCGCTCACGATGGTAGCTGTGTCGTTCAACAGAATTGATGCATCACACCCCTGCGTCATAATTAACATAACATGCATTTCAGTTTCAATCAATCTTCTAAAATGATAAAAGTTGATAGTTAGATACATATATATATATATACTTGAACAAAACAATCGTGAAAGTGGAGCCTTATGAGACTGGCGAGAATGCGTGGATCAGATTTGGAAACATTTCTGACAACTTCACGCACGATTGAATGCACTCTTGGACATGTGTCTTTGTAGAAGGAATTATCGAGTTGTGCATTGGATGGTCCAAGCAAAAGCACCACCGCACAGCACAGAGCTACTTTCACTATGAATGAGCTCATATTTCTCGTGTCTGAATTATGAGCCTGTTGCTGTTGCTGTTGCTGTTGGTTGGTTATGCTATTTATTGAGTGACAAATGGTGGCTTCAAATTTTCAATCATGCTACCTTCATAAAGAGAAAAGTCAAATATGGTGTACATTCATATGTCTCTAATTTATTAATAATAACTTACGGACTTGTCTAGGTCCAGTATAACTATTCTATTTAAATAACAATTCAAGTTTCAGTTCAATAAATTTAACAGGGTATACATAGTTAGTGACAAAGTTTAGGTGGTTTATATATATGATGTTAGGTTTTACGAGAAAAAAGATATGCATATAAATTAATTTTATATTATTAACAAATCAAAGTTTACTAATATATAATAAATTTGTTAACTTTTATATAATTATATGAAAAATACGCTATCTGTAACTTTTTAATTAGTTAATGGTATAAAAATTAAAATTGCATGACCATTACTATACATAAAAAAAATGATATATTAGTTCAAATAAAACTGTACCGGAAGGACCCTCTCGGCCACGTGGATCGGCATGTCATGTCCTATCAGATATTGACGCGGCCCAAACATCACCTCGACCCGACCACGTGGATCGGTCACGTGGACCGACACGTAACACGACGCAGCCTAGATACCACTTCGGCTCGACAAGGAGTTCAAAGCTGTACTCCACCCCTATCGGCTCGGCCAGAAGCCGAGAGAAAACGTTTCGGTTATTTTGTATCGGCTCGGCCAAAAGTCAACATTGAGTAACTAGAATAGCGATCATGGTTAACAAGGGACAAAGCACAATTAAGGCATAACCTGCCGATTAACATCGTATTACCTAATTTGGTAAGTGTCAGAGTAGGCCCACCACGCTCAGGCCCATGTCAGGTGTTATAAATAGGTCGCTTGTAGCGAGGTATGTCACTGTTCATTTAATTACCCTAGAAAATAGTGCTTGCCCTAACTTGAGCGTCGGAGTGCCTTTTGCAGGTACCTCCCTCCTCCTCCGAAGAGTGCATTAGAAGATCTCGTTCGGCCCTTCCTCACAGAAGATTGAGTGTGCCCTCTAACAGGTACATTTTGGCGCCCACCGTGGGGCGAACAGGAACTTCAGTATCCAGCTGCTCGTTCGGCGGGATCTGAGTCAGATTGACATATTTTCCCCGATGGAAATCCATTGTCATGTCAAATTGAAAGTCTGACGGAAGATTTCTGAAATATCGAGCTTGCCGAGTCGCTTGGGAGAAGCCGGCTTCATGCTGAGAGAAAACCTTGTAAGAGGAGACCTTGAGGCTTTCGGCGTAGCATTGTCAGGCTGTCTTCTGATTTGCCTTGACGAAGATAATCTTGCTATCAGTCCCAGGGAACTTCATGGTGAGGTGCGGGGTGGACACCACTACTCTGAGTTGATTCAACGTCGGCCTCCCAATGATTATATTATAGGAGGTGTTGGCTTCCAAGAGGAGGTATCGGACCATAATCCTCCTTGTATTTGAAGAGGAGGTATCAGACCATAATCCTCCTTGCAAATCCAACTAGCAGCTCTGTGTGAGGCTGGATAAGGGAGTGAGGGGTATCTAACCTAAGGAATGTCGGCCAATAGAAGACGTCAGCCGAGCTCCCTTGGTCGATCACTGTTTTGTGGACCTCCCAATTGGCGACGTCCACGGTGATGACCATTAAATCGTCTTGGTTGGGGCAGACACCAGCGTAGTCGTCGTTGGTGAAGGTGATCGGCGGTGAGCTTTGATGCGAGGCCGAGGTAGCAGAGTGAACGTTGTTGATGTTGTGCAAATGTCGTTTCTGCGCTGAGCTACTAGAGCCTCGCCTTGCGAAGCCACCTGCAATTGTGTTAATGACGTCCCGCAAGGGGGCCGACCCTGTTTCCTGGCTTACCTCGGCCCGTACTGCACCAGACAAGAAGCATGAGTTAAAAATGGCAAAAGATTGTAAAAAAGAAAAGAGATTGGCATTTGTGAATCGTGAAGACAAATTTGAAGGCTTCTTGCAACTAAGGGCTCAATGAAAGTGAGATTTGCTTATTATTAAAACATATTAAGAAAACAAAATATGAGTCTAAAACAATATATAAGGTAAGGATTGCTATCTCCTAATATACTTTGCTAATGCCTTATTTCTATTTTGGCCACATCGACTAGTAATATATTTATATATACGTGAGAAACAACTCTCATCTTACAAGTCAATTTTTGTATTATGAACCTGACTTAATCTTACAAAACTGGTTTAAAAGATGAAAATTACTCTTTGCTTATATATTTTATTAATGCATTATTTCTATTTTGGTCATATCAATAGTCAATTGTAATCCTCACATATAACAAAATCAAGAAAGCCATAACAACAAAGTGCAATCTATCTGTCTATCAGGAAAATGATTGAAATGAAAAAAAGTAAATAAAAAAAACACTTAAAAAGAGAACAACCTTTAACTCCCGACAGATGTCCATAATTCTTATAATGCTGCCTGCATCATTGTTTTGAGAATCAATAAACCCTCTCAAGACCAGATTGGGATTAACATGCCAAAGGTGTAGAATCATCCCACTGCCTACAGCACTTTTTACTATCTTGGGAAAAACAATCAGAGATACTTCCCGTTGTAAGAGATAATAGGCAGTCTGCAAGAACAACCAATGTAAACTACATGAATCAAGAAAACACATAGAATAGGTAATATTGGAGAACCAACAAATATGAATCCATTAGATTGTACATTAATATGTGCCATCCCAAGAAGCAACACTTCAGGAAAGTGTTTAAGAGGGTAATCAAGGATTGATCGAACATTATTGCCATGACCCTTCTCGGCTAGCTGGCAGAGGACGTCTAAAAGGTCAAGACACAACTATGCATGATTTGCATGGCCATTTTGAAGCTTGTGGCCATTAATTGCATCAACATATGCCTGCACAGCAATTTGTTGTGATAAGAATTTGGCAATAGGAACAAGAAATAATAATGATCAACTTAGATAAACTTCTCTAGAAATATTTTTAAGAGAGAAAAATTTAAATAAATAAATAAATAAATACGTTTTTTCGTGAGTTAAAATTAGCTTAAATATAAGTTAATTTGTAGAAATTTTCTTTTATCAGTTTTTCAAAAATTTTATTTTTAACTCATGTATAATTTAGTTTTAGTTCATTAATAAGTTTATTTTAATTTTTTTTCTAAAAGTGCTTTTGGAATAATTTATGCAAACAGGTCTAAATGTACAAACAGATAATCGTACCAGCAATCTTCCCGAGTGTGCAAAGGTAAATATTTCTGGTGGTGCTGATACAGCATATTTAAGGAGAGACAGCTGACCCTCAGTATTCTTCCATACAGATCCACATATGGCATGGAGAGGAAATGGTTCCTGCTAGGCATATTTTCATACATTCAGAATTTTATGCCGGAGTTTGCATATAAGAGCCTATTTAGATACAAGATTAAAAATGGTTTTGATAACTTTTCTTCTAGAAAAAATTCTTTATTTTTCAGCAAAGAAGCTCTAAAAATTATTTCTAACTTGTATCAAAACTGATTTTAAATATATATATATATATATATATATATTATTTTAATTATTTAAATATATTATATCGACAATTAATATATTTAGGTCTATTAATTGTTATTCTATTGATAAATTTATTTAATTTGGTTGCGATCATATATATTACATTATTACCATGATTTATTTGTTACAATGTCATTTTTTTTTTGTTACAAACATTATTACCTTGATTATGTGATGTGAATAATTTTCTCATTTTAATTATAAATAATTATAATATTAAATTTTACATATTAAATTTAACACTCTAATGTATATAAACTAATTAACTAAGATAGTAATAAATCAAACTAAAATTCTTGAAGTATAGTTTCATGTTCAATCATATGGATAGAAAAAAAATGCTTGAGGGAAGAGTTTTTATTAAACATGGTTAACTTGATTTCACGATAAGGATCGATCTTTATGAAAACTTGTGAATATCTTGTACTTACTAGTAGAAAAAAAAAAGGCACAATTTTTTTTAAAATTTAGAAAAAATAATGAAATACATGGTTATTTATAAAGACAACAATTTAAACATCGTATTAGCAATTAATATATAATTTTATTAGTTAAATTTAGTTTTGACAAAAAATAATTTTCTGAATTTTTAAGAGAGGCTTGAAATAAAACAAAAATTTCCTAAAAAATATTTTTATATGGATTTAATAGTCATACATTATTGGTATAAAAATTTTTCCAAAAAAAAAATGTTTGTTTTTACTCTTAATATGACTTTTGAGATACATTTGTAAGATTTAAAAAACTTAACATAAATAATGTTTTATTATTGGATGATGGTGTAAAATTATTTTATAACTGACAATGGATAACCTTTTTCTCTTTATATAAATATGCTAGTTGTTCTTCTACAAAAATTACTAGAAGTAAAAAAAATAAAAGAGAATCAATTTGGTTTTTTTATAATATATTATTGATGTAATGATATGTAGTTTTTGATATCTATTAATTTTATTAATTATTAATTTCTGTCAAAAAAACTTGATAAATAACGTTTAATGAGAAATTTCTTCTCCAAAATATACTTTTTTATTTACAAAATTAGCACATTATTACATAGAGTAAACCTAATTCCATTTAGACGAATGATAGCAATTTTGAAATTTGAATATATATTTTTTTATTTCTAAATATCAAAATTCCTACCTCTTAACTATTCTTTTCTTTTCAACTAAAACAAAGTACATTGTTTTTCCTATTTTTTTTTATTTTGTTTCTTTTCTTTTCAATTAATTAAACATACCATACGTTTAATTTTGTAAGTATGTGGAAATACAAGGATTGTTTATATTGAAATTTTTTTAGTATAATTACAAATCTACCAGTTATTTTACTTTACTTTCGAAAAATATATAAAACAAGTAAAATTATTATTTTTTTATTTTGTCATTTAATGTTTTAAAAAGTGTGAAAATAAAGTAATATTTTTTATTATTTATATATAAATTCCTTTAGTTAGACAAAAATCTCACTTC